CCCAGGACCCCTTCAGTTCAGTAGAACCAAAGGGCTGCTGTACGGGCTATTCCCTATAGCCCTACAGCTCCTGAAGTCGGCCGGGCGGCTCAGTCAGCATATGCTTCGGCTCGACTGAGCCGAGGTGAAAGCCGAAGCTGGCCGACAGCCTGCTACTGACTGCTGGGCGGAGCCAGCCGTGATGTTACGGCTGGCTCCAGCTATTCTGACTCCGATTGTTGTGATAGCGATGTAACCCTTGTGAGACCTCTATGCCTGGCCTGTATAAGTATATGCATTTACTGCGGACAATCATTGTCAGATAGCCGAACTCACCAATACCGTGTTCATCCACAAAGGTTGCTTTATTCTGTACGTGCAGACAACAGGATAACAGCGATGAATGGTTACAGTATTATGCGGTCAAAAGATTATGCCTTTCCTAGGGTACTATGCAGAGTACATGTGTCCTGATTACATGTGGCTGTTAGCTGTGGCCATGACACAGGAAATACTGACCAACAAGAAGAAGGGTGGGGCTTACATACAGAGGAAATGTGTCATCACATGAGGAAAGGAATACATAAAAAACAGGTGCAATATCACAAAAGGCCACTAGATGGCAGCATAGGAACTAACAAATAGAATGGCCATAGAAAAATGATTAAGGGAAAAACACTATATAAAACTTCTATCTAAATAAACTTCTATGCCCCATTGGGGCGGCACACCGGCCACTTGCAGAGAGATCAGCGTCCCTGGTTACCAGCTAACCAGGGACACTGATCTCCAGGCAGCCTAACTCTCCCGCTCCCGGCCCTAATGAGAGAAACACTGCTTTTTCTTTTTTATTCTGACACGTTGGAACCGTTGGCTGGCGTCAGAATAAATAAAATAAATAACATTTTCACCATAGGAATGCCTTGCTAATTCCTATTTCAATTTGCAATAGCCAATAGCAAACTAGCTATAGCACCCGCCCACTGCTGCAGTTCTCCATCAGGTCCCCACTAGGGATTGACAGCAGTAGAGGGCAGGTGCAATAGCTAGTTTGCTATTGGCTATTGCAAATTAAAATAGCCAATAGGAATCTAGCAATGCATTCCTATGGCGAAAATGGTTTTTGTTTTTATTCTGACGCCAGCCAACGGCTCCGTGTCAGAATAAAAAAGAAAAAGCAGTGTTTCTCTCCAGCGGCATTCGGCTATTTACTCACTGCTGTTCGGCATCTATAAGAATAACAAGTCATGCTTTCTCATCAAGTGGTAATAGTGGTAGTAGCCAGCAGTCCGCTGACACTGTCACTGTTCTCGCTGATGCAAAACTGTACTGCTGCTGGCCAATTTCTATCAAAATATAATTACAGCAGAACTAAAGTGGAGGTATCTTTTATGACTTTTAATGAACCCTTGCAGAGGGGCTACCTCTGCACTGCAAGGGTTAACTGCTGGTTTTGGTCTAGGAAGGAAAAAAAACAAAGTTATACTCACCCGATCCAACGAGCCAGCCGCTTGTGACAGCACTCCCTCTGCTTCTCTCACACTGAAGCGATGGTATATCCCTCTGCATCCTCATGTCCTATACACTGTATACACTGTGTATAGAACGTGTTGACTCAGGGACCTTAAACCGCTGCAGCAGAAGGGGAGCGAGGCTGGAAGGACTGGTTTACAGAGGTGGGGGAGCAAGGCTGAAATAACTAGTCTGCAG